CCATTCATCCACTCATGATATCATCCATTCATTCTCCACAGGTGGTGAGGTGCGTCCCTCTACGTTATGTTCACCTCTGAATGGTCCAATCCGTTGACTCCAGTCAGAGCGAAGAGACCAAAGAGGATGAAGAGAACAATGAGCTCAATGAGTCTGAATGTTGTGGATCCTTCATAGAATACAGATGAAACTGTCTATAGAACCACGGGGATTGAATTTAGGTAGAAAACAACTATTTCTGAATGCATGTCTCTGTATTTTATTAGTCCTTTTTTTCATTTGTTTGTTAAAGATAATTAATATTAATAATAATAATGTTTCTGAGCAAAAATATAACATTCATTCAAAAACGACAAAAAGGCAAATATGTTCATTTGAACTGTTATTTAATTGAAAAACAAGTCAACACCATTCGGTCTTCAGTTTATCGTCACACAGTGTCCATACATTTATGCTTTGTACAAAGAGGTATCAGTTCTCCAACCGCAGAGTACACAACAATGAGACACACAAGGACGCGTCTCACTTCGAGGGTGAGGAGCCTCCTGTTTGCAGCAGCTCTCCTGTTACACACGGACCAGAATCAGTGACCCGATGAGCGACCGCCGCCTCGCGTCACCATGAGGGAAGAGTGACTAATAAATACGCCTCCGTGTGCTGCAGGCGTCCCGGAAATATCTACTTTTACACGCTGAACTCGAGCACAATAAAATAACGTCCACGAAACGCGTGCACCAAACGTTCTAGTCATTCCAGGAAGGACTGAGTGGATTCTTTTCCTCAGTTGATTCGTTCGTGATGTGATGTTGGAGACGGTCGGGACAAGAAGATGAAAGATTTCATTTCTCAAACAAATAGTTTTGCATGTTTCCACGTTCCGCCGCTGAGGGAGAATGTTGGCTTTGTTTCAGCAGTCAAGGCCTTTGGTCGGAGGAAATGTCGTAGAACGTCCGTCAGGTAAAATAACGAGATCACCAAAGCAGGAAGCGCATGAAGGTGACGCAGCTCGCTAAGTGATGCTGTTACGTGAGGCTACGTCACAAACCCTGATAACTTGTAGCGTTAATCATTGTTCTTCAAAGGCTACGTTGCAAACGTCACTTCTTATGTCCTTTTTGACTTCACAGAACCGTCTTGTTGCCCAAATGCTAAGCAATCGTTTCCCAATGCTAACGTTATTTACCTGTGCAGGTCGTTTACACCTGTAGTCCTTTAACACTGTGGTATACAAACGCAAACTATAGGAAAGCAACATGAGCAGAAAAACATGTCCGTGTTACACAAAGTTGATATGAACCGATTATAAATCACATATATTATTTGGTTTGGAGACGTTGACGTTCGACACATTCGTGGTTCTCAGAAACATAAAAAGGCAACATGTGTTATTCTGGCGGTTTAATGTTCTTTGTGACACAGAATTCCTCCACTAACTGATGAAGACCTTGAGATGTGCGGAGGGTCCTTTCAGGGGAGGAATTAGCTTCCTTTCCGATATGAATTTTAATTCCAAATAAAGAAAATACATTCTGTGTTTGGCATAGAAATAAGAAAAAAGGAGCAACTGGAGAATGATGAAACAACGTAACATAATTAATATGAACACAACTAAATGTTTCCGTCTGATATAAAAATGACCAGATTTCGTTTTTAGTCCAACAAACCAGGTTATGGGAGGAAAGCTCTGGATGTCTCTCGTTGTCCACAGTAACTGTCGTACGGCGTTTACATCAGACTTGCGTCTGTGTGCCGTGTTGGGCGGGCCGTGGTGCACTAGGAGGTCGGAGGTCGCAGGGCGCGGCAGGAGTGGCAGCACGCCTTGCTGTAGTACCAGTGGCTGCACAGGTTGACCTTCAGCGCCAGCAGGCAGTTGGTGGAGGGACGATCCTGGCAGCTCTCATCTGGGACCCGACCACAAAACCCACAACCAGGCTGAGACGTGGCTCAGGCCCAAACAATGTCCTTACAGCAGAGATTTCATCCCAAAACCTTCTTTTCTATCATCAAAAATTTCTGATATTTAAAGTGCGGTTCTTGCTCGTGTGCTGTGCTTCGTATCTGCTTTATTTCCTTTTGCATCTTTATTGTTTACTAGTTGTTGCATGATTTTTAACAGCAGACTCTGCAGACGCTCTGCAGACCTCCGACACATTCAGAGCAACGAGTGTGAACTCGTTTTGTTTACTTTGCCGGTGTGGTTTGTGTGTTGGACATTTTATCTCTGTAACGGTCGACAGGTGTTTCCTCAGGCGGGGGGGGGGGGCATGTGGGGCATATAGCCTTGTGTTCAAAGTCGGGCTAACGGCGAGCATGCGTTATGCTACGGGCCTCACAACGTACAGTGTGGAGCTTGTGTGTGCTTGTTCTGGTCTTCCTATCTTCATGGGGTCCAACAAATCAGTGGGGGCCGAAAAGCTGCGTGTGTGTTTGTTTGTTTGTGTGCGTGCGTTTGTGTGCGTGTGTGTGTGTGTGATACCTGGCGGCTCGGTGGGGCAGGACTGCAGCGTGCAGGTCTGCTTGGCCACAGGTCTGGTGAGCGGGTCGCAGCCTCGGACCAGCTCCGTTCCCTGGTAACACTTGACGTCTCTCATCCTCACACCGACGCCACACGTCTTCGTGCACTGAGGACACAGAGGGCCGGGGGACACGGTTCAGCGCGGGACGCGGGAGGCGGAGCGAGCGCGCCGCGCGGCCTTCACCTCGGGACCAGGGGGTGGAGTACCATTTGAAGCACGGCCTCTTCGAAGCAGGGGTCTCTTCTTCTGGCTTCTCGCTGCCTCCGCACGCCTCCTCCGCGAAGGTCTGGAACGTCCCTCCACTGATGCCGACGCCAAGGACGAGCTTCCGCTTCACGCCGCGACCGCACGTTGTGTTACACTATTGACAACAACAAGAAAGGTGTGGACGGGCATGTCGTACTCTGTGTTCCTCTTTCTGCTTTGATTTCCGTCTAAAAGCAGTCAAGTGTTTTCTTTTATCCAACTTAACCGCATATTTCTTTAGACCTGATAGGGAGACGGTTGTGGTTATGACATATCTTGTCCCCCTCACCCTCTCCCAGTCCTGGCTCAGCCAGTGCGGAGCACAGTCCCTCTCGCCACAGGGGTGGATGGCCAGCGGCTTGTCCTCCGCCGAGCACTGGTTCTCAGGAACCACGCGACCCTCCGGCGCCTTGCAGTACACGTGGCGCACCGTCTTCCCCTGGCCGCACAGCCCCGAGCACTGAGGAGTCAAAGGTCAGAGCCGGATGACTCACGGGGGGCAAAGAGCAGCGCATCGGGGTTCTTCTCCGGCCAGGTCGCTGCGGTCGGAGCAAATTGAGCTGCGTCGCGGGAATCAAAGGGCAACAGAGGAAACGTAGGACAATGTCCACCCGAGGTCTGATCGTCCCACTGAGGTTACTGATTCTACCGAATGCTACGATCCTGTTTGGACAGAGAAGATCATTGGTCCTTCTCAGGGAACAGTTTGATCACCTGGTGCACCTATTTTCAAAATAACAATAAATATTTCCGACTAATCTGTAGTTCTTGGGGGACATTTCACATGCATCCATTTGGACCTGGTCTCACACCCTGCGGGTTTCAAGTGACTTTAAATGGAACATTGAACATGCAAAACCATAAAACACCGTAAATTCTCAAGGCGGCTCTGTAGTGAAGCAGCTGGGAAAGACGAGGTGTTTATTATTTATCACCTTTTATGAAATACAAAGAAGGAAAACCGGCGGAGTTGTCAATAAAATAAAATAAAAATAATTCAAATGAAGTGAGTCATTGGTCAAGGAGGAAGTATTTGTGTCGATAAAAACAGTAAGTTACTGTCATTTGTCGATAAAGTTTTGAGCGATAAAACACGTGCTTCTGTCTCTGGATGTCAATGAAGTGGAGACCGAAGACACTCACAGGACCCCACTCGGACACGGTCCACTGGCGCTCGCAGGGCGGACCCGTGCAGTTCTTGGCGTTCGGTGGTCTGGTCATCGGGTCACAAGGCCGGGCGTCCTCAGAGCAGCGGACGTCCCGGGTCACCTGGGCTTTGCGGCCACATTTGGCGGGACACTGGATGGCGGAGGGAATCACAGAGGCATAAGAGGAATACCAGTACAAGATGCCTTCAAACCATTTGTAAAAGTTCCGATTGGAAGAGTCCGAAGTCTGCAGGAACCATCGGATCTGAACCGCCGTTCTATTGAGCCTTCGCTTTGCACTGATGATTCCAGGCCTCGAGTTCAGCAGTTTCACCGTCGCCCTCCTGGATTACTTTTTGCAACCAATGAACGGAAATGGCAGTAAAGCACAGAGACAAGGTCTTCTCACCCCGGAACTCCTGAAGTACCGAGAGCAGAACCCTTACCTCCGGACTCCGTCAGACCTCTCCTACCTCTGTCCACTCGGCCACCTCCCACTGGGGGCCGCAGGCCGGGCTCTTGCAGGGCCGCCTCTCCACGGGCCTCTCCAGGTCGGCGGTGGCGCAGAGGTCGCTGTAGACCGAGCTGTCCAGGCCCGGCGAGATCATCTTCCAGCAGCGGACCTGACGGAACTGGAAACCCTCCCCGCAGGTCCTGGAGCACTCGCTCCAGCTGCTCGCCTCCCACCTGAAAACGACAGCCGGTCCCGTGTCAGAGGTTCCGTTGGGTCCAAAGTCTGAACGACATCCTGATGTTCCGCGGTACCTGGGCGGACATTCTCTGCCGATGCAGAAGTCGTGGACCGGCTCCGGTCTGGTCAGAGCGTCGCAGTACATGTCGTGCACCTCGATGCCGTCGTACCGGATGCACGTGACGAAGGACTTCGACACGCCTGGATCAAGAGCCAGAAACAAGAAACCGACGGCAAAGTCAGGTGTTGAAGATGAGAAAAGGTTTCCATTGGGAACGTTCAGCAGAGCGGCTTGAGGTTCTTTTAGGGGAGTTAAATGTTTTGGGCATGTTTGTTTTCCCTCACTATATATTTGATATAATATACTTTTACTATACTTCATGGCACCTAAAGGAGAACTGGTCAGGAACGGCCCTCTGGAGCCACATTGAGTGACTCAGGACTTAGGAATTAGAATTAGGAGGTGCGTTATTGACCTACAGAGGTTCATTCTGAGGGTTATTCTTCTATCAATGTGCCTGTTTTCTGGAAAGTTACTTTTAAACACAGTTTAAGTGTTGATCCTCAGTTGATCCTTTTGTTAAGACCCACTACGTATTGATGGACCCGCTGGAGGGAAGGGAGACCTCGGGAGAACCAGAACCGAGAGGGTCAGAACTGAGAGGGTCAGACTGTGAGACCCTGCTGTAGAATGAGAGGTTTTCAGAAGGGACCCTGGTGGTAGAGACACTACCACTTTGGTCCACAGGGGGCGACACGATCAACGCAACACGAAGGCTCCTCGTAGCAACTTTAAACAAAGTGTACGACCTGATCTGCAGTCTGTTAGCTCTGCTGTGTGTGTGTGTGTGTGTGTGTGTGTGTGTGTGTGCTTCTACCTATGGAGCAGGTCATGCTGCAGGGCTCCTGAGAGGAAAGCTTCCAGCGGTACATGTCAGCTGCACTCAGCTTCAGGTTCTTCTGATGGATCTCTTGGATTCTCTCTGTTCTACGCACACACACACACACACAC